GCCACAGTGGGGAATAAAGGCTACCCAGAAGAATAAAGGCAGTGTGATTAACTAGCCCACCTAACTAAACATGGAGGCGAGCAACCTAACATGCAGTCTTGGCCTGCCTGTAGAGCAGCATGTTCTAGAGTTTCTTGTCTGTATGTGGGAGGCAGGCAAGGGCTTCGCCATCTCAGCTGAATGCTGGAGAGCAGACCACTAATTCAGCACATACTGGCTGTGAACAAGCAACTGGTAACTCAAAGAAACTGATGCTAGCACAACCTCCAAAGGAAGGATTAACCAACGCTGTGGGGAAATTGAATCATACGCTTTAATAAATTTCACTACTTTAGACCCTTAATTCTGTTCTGGGGGCTTATCCTACGGAAATAATCAAGTCTACAGAAGGGCTTTTATGCGCGAAGGTATTCATCAAGGTAAAAAGGTGCATATTTAACAACAGGAACAAGATTTTAAAAGTCAAATATATAAAAGGATATTATGCAGTAATTTAAAGCCATATTTATAAGAAACGCTCATAATGTAATACAAAAAGTGAATGATCCACTTATAAAATTGAACATGCATTATGAACACAGCTCTGGATGAAGAATTTTGCACAGGGCAGAAAGATTGACAGGCTCGAAGTCAGAATGTTAACAGTGAGAAACTTTATACAGCACCACCATGCATTTGTAACTCATTTGCTTCTTTTGGCTTGCATGCGCTTTCCAAATTTTCTTACAATGAGCCGATATTACTTACAAAGTGAGGGTTTGGGGATTTATTTTTGCTACAAATTATCACCTAAGCAACTAAGATAATTTCTCAATATGTTCTAAGAACACCAAAAACAATGTATCAATTCCTATATACAAAAATTAGCCCAAGGAAAAAACCGGTTGAGAAGATGAACTTCACTCACACAGAACAAAAGATGGAAGAGTTGACTTCTAACCACATGGTGGGGGGAGGTGAAAGGGCTCCAAAGGTGTCACCACCTTCAGATTCACACATTTCCAACAAGCGGTGGCCTTCCCGTACAATCCCAGCTTCAGAGCCACCCGCCCTTCCCAAAGCCAGCCTGCAGCCTCCCAAGCTTCAGCCTCCAACAAAATTGCTTCATATGTGATGATGTGACAACTTCCTTTTCAGCTGAGGTGTGGTTAATGGCATAGTGATTTTCTTTCCTTGTCCTCGAGCACGCACGATTGAAAGTTACGGAGGAATATCTTGAGCAAGGCACCATTTAGAACACATAAAGCAACATTCTTTCCTATTAACCCAGACAATTAGCCAATTTGCTGCTATCTTCAACTCCAAGAGCATGCGGACTGAAATGGGGGATAAAACTAAAAAGAACAAAAGCAACTAAGAAGGTGGACCATAGCCGTCTTTCACCGTCAAGGTTAACATCTTCATTCTGTTGCTCACGCCACATGAAAGAAAAGCTTATCCCTTCCATCCTGGGTCATAGAAACTGTTACAAAGAGACGCAACCAAAGAGGAGAGCAGATGCAAGCTAAGATAATGAGTGGAGCCTATGGGAACCCCCTCCCGGTATGGGAACCCCCTCCTGGCCCACCCAGTTTCTTAGTTCCTTTTCCTGGTATCCAATAAAACACCCTGACAAAAGCAACCTAAGGGCAAAAGGGTTTATTTTGGCTCAGAGATCAGAGTCACAATCCACTGTGACAGTGGAGACCCAACAGCAGAAGCTTGAGACAGCCGTCACATGGCATCCACAGTCAAGAAGCAGAGAGCGCTGAACACTTGTGCTCAGCTCCTCTATATGCAGTCCTGGATCTTAGCCCAGGGAATGGCGCTGCGCCGCCCCCCCCACCCCCACCCCACCCCCCCACTCCACCCCACCCCTGCCGTAGGTGAGTCACCTCAATCAGCATACTCTCCCACAGGCATCTTCAGAAGCCCATCTCCCAGGTAACCTGAGACCTCATCAGTGGATAACTGAGATTAACCACCAGAGCCAAGTATTTGTATAACCTTTATTTCTATCACTAGTCGCTTCCTAGAGATGTGGGGAAGCTAAAAATCATCATCCTGAATGCATACATGTGCTGTGATAAATAGTATCAGGCACCTAATAGCATCTTATAATGAGATGACTAGTTAAGGAAGGTACAAACAAATGGCACACCTTTGTTTGAAATGAATTCTCCCCACCCATCCTTGGCCTCTCTTGAGATACTCACTATTCTCTATACGATCCTGGCATTTTACATGTCTAGGCTTTCACATACACCAAAATCCGTGGTCTCATGAGGATAAAGGTAGGTCCTGATTTAGCAGATTTAGGTGATGCTGAGACTAACTAAATTCTGATCTCTGAGGGCAAAACCCAGGTAGCTGTATGGTTCCCCAGCGAATCCAACATACAGCGAGATGTGAAAAGGTCATGGAAGGCTGGCCAAATGAGTCAGTAAAGGCACTTGCCACCAAGTCTGAGGACCTGAGTCCCCAGGTCACACACGAGAAAAGGCAAGAACTGACTTCCCACAGGTTGTCCTCTGGTCTCCACATGTGCATCACCGCATTGTGTGTGTGTGCATGCGCGCCCGTGCGCATGCGAGCATACACACACACACTTCACTAAGTAGTAATTGTTTCAGAATAAGGCAGAAAGCAATCGAGGAAGACATTGGAAGGAAAAAACAAAAAGAAGGTCACTGGCACTTTCACCTCCAGGCCTCACCAATGGTTCTCCATGGCCCAGCAACACCGCATGACAATACTATCCCCAGAGGTGTTGTGAAGAGTAACAGAAGGGGAGGGGGGGAGACACAGGTAAGCCACACAGTGCCCAGTACACTGAGCTCTCCGGTATATTCGCCATAGTTACCCATTTACCACTAATACTCCTGTGACTGTTACTGAAGCGGGCTAACACAAGAGAAGAGATAAAAGGACGTAGATAGAGTTCTGGAGAAAAGGAAGAGATAAGAAAATGTCAGCTGGGGAGGAGGTGCAGGAGCGTGGCCTGAGCAAGTGCGTGGTGGGCAGGGAGCTGCAGGGAGCAAATACAGTTGGTAATTACAGTAACAGCTATCATTTACTTGGGCTTTAAGGTCTGAAGGGCCCTATGTTACCTAGCAGGGATGCTCCAAGCAGAATGTGGGGCTGCTGGTTGTTGCTTCATAGGAAGCCACAGGTTGGCCTATCGTTTTTTTTTTTTTTTGTTTTTTTTTTTTTTTTTATCTTTTCCCCTTGAGGCAGAGGAGTGGTGAGGACTGGGTGTGGCCGCCCATAGACCACAAGGAACCAGTCCTGGCTTAGGATGGTAAGGCTAGCAGGGAAGCAGCCTCAGGAGTCAGGGAGAAGCGCAGGAACTGTTCACATCCTCGGGAGCAGTGAGGTTAGGGTTAACATCCCTGGGAATGTTCCTGACTAGGGACTAGGCTGGTGTGATGAACCCGGGTTCCTCCTCCTCAGGTTTGTCTTGTCCCACATCCTCCCCCTTTTCTATTCTTGGCCCCTCTTCTCAGAACTGCTTTTAAGGGCCTCTCGACATGCATCTCTACATGCCTCTCATCCTCAGTTGCCTTGTGGATGTCAAGGAGGCTAAGTGACATTTGACTATTTCACAGAGAGGCTTCAGAGTCACTACCCTCCACACAGAAGGGAATATGACATACATCCATGAGTAAGCAGGTTTTAAAACAAAAACAACCAGAGGTGCATGGGTTAAGCAATGAATAGAAGGCAGATTCCAACCCAAAACATCTGAAGACGATTCTAGAGAGCTTAGTTTTTTTCTCTGTCTTCTGAGCATATGTTTAAATATCATTTTAGTCTAGATCATTTAAGGATAACCTTCCCCATCACAGCTCCAGACAGAAGTACTTCACTTCAGGCCCCCAGGTGACAGTCAGGGTGCTGAGACCAAGTTAACCCATGATCCCTCTGTGAAGATAAGAGGCAGACAGGGCCAGGCCTGGCCACCTAATTCCATAATAGAACTCTGCGGCTCAACATCTCAGGCCAGTGTCTTTACCCTTCCTTAAAGCGGTACAGCTGAGATCTAGAGCACCTTCATTCACAGAGACATGAAAAGGAACTGAAAATCTTGTCAAGGAGTGAGATCAGCCAGTAAGGAGTGAGTGTCCCTGTGGCTCTCAATTCTGAGCCTCGACCCCTTTGTCCAGGCACCCCAACAACCTGACCCGCTCTCACTACAAAATTTGAAAAGCAGCAGTTCAAGATTCCTAGGGATGGCCACACAGTTATTTTCCCTATTTCTACCATCTTCCCTTTTAAGTAAAACACACAAAACAAAACAAAACAAAATGGCTCTTTTTACATAAAAAATAATTTTCCTAGATTCCAAAGGTTCTTTTTACATAAAAACATTTTCCCTAGGTTCCATATTGTTCCCAATAAACAAAGAGCCCCAGGTGCAGAAGATGAAGTGGTTTCCTGAGATGTTAAATCAATCAAAGAGCCAGAACTCAAAATCAAAAGTCAACGTATCTCCAGCCATATTTCTAGCACCAGCCAGACAAAGTAGTTCCTTGTAAAATGTACAAACCAGTGGCCAGTAGGAGAAAATTGACATTAAATCCTGATTTAATCCCAGCTTCTCTATAGGCTCATTTACAAGAGAGAGAGAGAAATCTTAACTGCAAAGTTATCTGGGTCATGGTGGCCCCCACCACCACGTGGGCTCTTAGTCTGATAAACCCAAAGATGGAAAGTGAAGAAGGGAAGGGAAAGGTTACTGGTCAGCAATACATTTCCCCTTGGAGAGTTTTCCTAACCCTTAAAAAAAAATTACTAATGCATTGTTCTGCAAATGATATAGCCCTATTTAGAGAAAGGGGGAAGTATACTATTATTTTGTCAAAGTTGGTTACCATGGCAGCCTGAACCCTTGACTCTGCATGGCCTTTGGCTTATATGTTTAAGCACACCTCCATGTTGTATACAGTTGCTTGGTATTTTGTTACCCACTACCTAATAGTGAAATCAAAGCCTCCCAATTAAGTGGAGAGTGTTCTCACCTGTGAACGCATTTGTGGCCTGAAAACCAGCTTCCGGCATACTGCTCCCCAGACAAGCCTGTGTTTCAATTCTTAACTTGTCCTGTTGTGAAGAAACTGCCCGGGCGAGGCCTCAGGTCACTTCCATCTTAGCCTGTCCAAGTCCATCACTCTGCTGGTCCAACCTTTGGGAGCATCTGATGCCCACTGGCTGTGCTCCCACACCCTGTGAGCAGGAACTACCTGGACGGCACACAGTCCAACAGCATGTGGGACACACAGTCACATCAGCCGTCCAGCCAGAGAGTTGAAGCCATGGTGAGGTCGGGAATGAAGACGCTGTCCTGCTGAAACCTGCTCTCCCACCTCAAAATGAAGGACTTCTCGGCCTCACTGCAGCCAGCATCTTCCACAGAGCGGGCCAGTCTCCACCTCACCAGGGGCTCTCAGGCTGTTCTCATCAGCTGCTCTCTGTGCTTTGCTTCTGTTCTTGCTGAAATTAAACAGAAAGAAGTCACTTTCTGAAGGACCTTGGTAACCAGTAAGATCAATAGACCTGCTGAGCCTGGTGAATGTACTTATCATCCCAGCACTTGGGAAGCTGAGGCAGGTCACTGAGACTGTGGGAGCCAGACTCCACATCGAGAGATCTTGCCTCTCAAAACCATCACAGCAGCAGATCAATAAGCCCACAAAACTAAGAATTAAAAAGCAGCTCAGCCATAACCATGACCCTTCTGTGAACACTGGGGTCAGGGGTGAGGGGGACCACCACTTTCAAGCCTCAAACACCACATTATCCATTTTCTAAGGCACTCTAATAACAGATTTAAGCCCACAATCTCCAAACACCTTTCCTTGGGCTACTTAGAATTCACACACACTCTTAAGGAACTGATTTCCCAAAGTTGAAACCCGAGGTCTTAGAAGTGGTCTTTAGTTCACATTAACTACCATCAGTACTCAAAGAATGGGGACTTAAGATCTGGAAGAAGCAATTTTTAACAGTGACTCTTAGACGATGACCAAGTGGAGCTTATCCAAGGGATACAGATGATTCAACATATCTCAAAACACATGACAAATTCCATCAACAGAATGAGGACAAATCCAAAAAACCACCTACATAGAAGCAGAAAAGGCATTTGATAAACTTCACTATCCCCCCAGGAGAAAAGCCCTCAGCATTAGGTATAGAAAGAACACACCTCAGCACAGAAAGGCGACATAGGGCTGTAGCCAATATCATTCCAATGGGAAAAGCTGAAAAGTCTTCATTTAAGACCAGGAACAAGGCAAGCACATCTACCAACACCACTCTCACTCAACACAGCAGCAGAAGTCCTAGCTGGAGAAAAAAAGACAAGAAACAGAAATCATCCAATTCAGAAATGAAGCCAAACTGTCCTTGCTGGCAGACAACTGGGTTTTTATAAGCAAAAAAAAAATAAAAAATAAAAAAAACCATAAATATTCTACTAAAGATTGCAAAAAATAAGAACAATTTTTATACATCAATACAAACTCACTGAGAAAAATAATATTTTTAATATTCCAATTCACAATGCCTACAAGAAGCTGGGTAGTGGTGGCACACACCTTTAATCCCATCACTTGGGAGGCAAAGGCAGGTGGATCTCTGTGAGTTCAAGGCTAGCCTGGTCTACAAAGCAAGTTCCAGTTCAGCTAGGGCTACACAGAGAAACCTTGTCTCAAAAAATAAAAAAAGAAGAAAGAAAAAAAACAATGCCTATAAGGAGGAGGAGGTGGAAGAGGAGGAGGAAGAATAGAAAGAATGAAAGGGAAAGAAAGAAAGAGGGGGGAGAAAGAGAGGGAGGGGGGAAGGAAGGAAGAGAGAATATCTAATGTTGGGAACAGAAGGCTGCTGTAGAATAATCCTTTTGTCCACTGTGAAGATTTGTCACTCAGATCAGTTTAATAAAAGGCTAAGTGGCCAGTAGCCAGGCAGGACAACCAAACTAGGAGAGTGATGGGAAGAAGGGCAGAGTCAGAGAAGACACCAGACCAGCCAGCTGCCAAGGAAGCAGGACATGTAGAAAATGAGGTAACAAGCTATGAGCCTGTGGCAAAGCATAGATAAGAAATATGGGTTAATTTAAATGCAAGAACTAGGTAGTAACAAGATTGAGCTATCAGTTGAACATTTATAATTTATATTAAGTCTATGAGTCAGTTATTTGGGGAGCAGCTGTTGGTTATTTGGGAGCAGGTGGTTGAGACAGAAAAATCTCCACCTACAAATGGCACCCATCGTGTAGATCCACCTAAGACCTAAAGCTTAAAAAAGAGTTCTAGACACACAGAAACGGAGCCAAGAGCAGCTTCCTAGTCTCATGTCTCTCATGCCAGCTGCAATACAGAGATGTGCTTGAAGCTGCCAACATGCCATGAGCTCTGCATGGTGGGTTCCTGCAGTCTTTCATGCTGGCCATGAGCTCAGCTGCCTGGTGGGTTCCTACAGTCTCTCATGCTGGCCATGAGCTCTGCATGGTGGGTTCCTGCAGTCTTTAATGCTGGCCATGAGCTTAGCTGCCTGGTGGATTCCTGCAGTCTCTCATGCTAGTTGCAGTACAGAAAAATGTTTCCTGACAGTGGCCTCCAACCACCATGGACTATCGCCATGTGCTAAGCTGAGCAATGCAGGCAGCTGACATAGCAGTTTAAGATTTGTCTCTGCAATCAAAAAACAATATAGATACTTAGTAAAAACAGATTGAGACCAAAGGAAAAAAACCTCTAAAAGGGTTACAGTGTGTTTAAAATTTACATAGGCTTGGGAGAGAAAAGAAAAAGGATAGAGAAAGTCCTTAAAAAATAGAGTAATAAAAATATATATAATAAGCCACATAAAGATGGGAAATACACAGAAAGTCTGGATCCTGTATGTTATTTTGTTGTCTTCACATTTTTTTTTTTTTGGCTGCTAAGAGATGCTGGCTTATAAAAACTGCTAGATTCAACTAACATTTTAAAAATATCTTGACTTCAAAATTTAAGTCAACAGGTGTGTTGCTTTGGGAGAGAGGTTATGCTTTTATTTCCACAGGAAATGGGAAGCTGTGGATTCATTCTGGGTTAAAGAAAATCAGGTTTGATCGAGGAAGACTCCCTGAAAATTCTGGCTACAAACATAAAGAAATAAACCTAGAAGAACTACAAGACACATGATATATATTTTACCTGCTCAAACACCTAGCAAAAAAATCACCTTTGGCCTACTTGTGTATAATGCACAGTCTATACTTGTATTAATGCAGATATGTATGTTACCTTTAAAAGTTTATGTATTTTCAGAGCAAGGGAAACAGACACCAAGGGGATGGACCAGGTGATCAACATCCAGAACAGCTTCAAAGCTGCTGACTGAAATGATCCAGCTTCACAAACTATTAACCATTAGCCTAAATTTTCTCAAGTCCAAAGATTACCAGCACTCCAAATAACAGGAAGTAGTCTAGAAAACTATGCCCATATTCCCAAAAAATGGATTATGGATGTTTGTCTTTGTTTAGGGGGGTTGGTTATAAATTATTATTGGTCATAATAAAAAAACAAAAACAAAACCTAACCAAAGCAGTTAGATTCAAAGATCTCTTTCTAAAGGAAAAAAGGGAGATGTGATATAGAAATTATAAGATAAAAAAGTAGATTACTGAATCTACTTTAATCCAAAAAACAACTATTAACCTCAAAATCTTTTATATTAGTATGGATTTTGGTATATTGATACAAATTTAAAGTTATTTCTGTTATACTATATGCATGTTTCTACTCTTGTTTGGAGTATTGTGCTCATGCAGCTCATTTAAAAATGTAATGTATAATTAAGGAATGCAAATTAATAGTCATCTGTAATAGTCAAACTTAAAATCATGTTAGGTACGTTTTCAAGGTTACACACACATATATTTGGATAGATATATAGTCTTCAAACACTTCAAAGACCTACAGAATATGGCATTTAATGTTTAATAACCTATGACTTTTTATGACAGTGAGACACATCTGCTCCTGACAGCACCAATCTACTTCAAGGAAGATGATGGGCATCAAAGAAACTCCATATGAAGTTTGTTATCTTTATAGCAAAAACTAGCCATGTGGGCAAAGAAACTGCCTTTGCCTCAATTGCTGACAGATACTGTCCAAACTGGACCAGCAGGATGCAAAACAGGTGACTGCCAAACTTTCCCAAAACAAGGTAGGACAGTCCTTCAGAATCCCCTTGCTTCTCAGAAAAGTCTGTCAGTTACGCTAGGCCTGTAGGCCAGAGATGGATGCCCCAACATTGCTGAGGAACTTCGGTTGACTGTCCAGGCAGTCTGAGGTCCCTGTCATTAGGTAACATTTCACCCTTCTAGGGTCTTTGGAGTTGAAGACTAGATAGTTAAAGTTTTCTTTAGTTATGATAACACATAAATTGAATATAAAACTTTGGACTCACAAAGATAAGATAGATAATAGAGTATTTTCCTTAATTTTTCCAAATACAAATGGACTGGATATTGTAACTGTAGTTCTTACTTAATAACTGTTTTTGTTGTATATAATTTTACTATGTTAAAATTAAAACCTTTTTTAATTAGCAAGAAGGGGGAAATGCTATGGAATAATCCTTTTGTACAATGTGAAGATTCATCACTCAGATTGATTTAATAAAAAGCTGATTGGCCAGTAGCCAGTCAGGACAATCAAACTAGGAGAGTGCTGGGAAGAAGGGCAGAGTCAGAGGAGACACCAGACCAGCCAGCTGCCAAGGAAGCAGGACATGTAGAAAATGAGGTAACAAGCCATGAGCCATGTGGCAAAGCATAGATAAGAAACATGGATTAATTTAAATGTAAGAGTTAGGTAGTAACAAGCCTGAGCTATCAATCAAGCATTTATAATTTATATTAAGTCTCCAAGTCAATTATTTGGGAAGTGGTTGTCAGATATTTGGGAGCAGGTAGTTGGGACAGGAAAACTCTGCCTACAGAAGGCAGCAAGGACCAGTTTATGTTTAGATAAGATGGAACTCTGATGTAGACATCTGGTCAGCACAAAATGACTAACACCAGATGTCTGGGGAGCCGCAAAAGTAAGCACTGATGTACTCTGTTGTATAACTATTCCTCACAGAATGCCATTTTTGTGTGAGTTCTGTATAAATATGGCCTTGAGGCCAGAGGACTAAGCTTTGCCAGTCTGCCTGTGTGTTTATTTCTACATGTGTTTGTCTACTTCCATGTGGCCTGTGTACCAATCAGTGTGTGTGCTTATTTGTGCCTGTGTGTGACCCATGCATGACACCATGTACCTGGGTGACAGCCATCAGCTACCTGACTAGTGGCCCCCAGGCTGGTGAATTAAGTATGCCTTATATGCCTGAAACTCCTTACATCTCTTCAAATTCTCAGCCTTCCTGACCCTCCTCCGTTCCTGGCATTAGAGCTTGGACCTCATATGAAGCAATATATTTAACAAAGAAAG